ACTGTCTTGGAGGCCGAGGCGGCGTGGGATCACCGAGGTCAGGAAGATCGACAGACCCATCGCTGCGCTGAGACATGGTGACCCGTCCTCTACTAAAAATACAAAAAACTAGCCGGGCGTGGTGGCGGGCGGCCTGTAGTCCCAGCTTACACACCTCGCCCGGGCTGACTGGCTGGCAAGCGAATGGGCGTGACACCGGGCAGGCGGAGCTTGCAGTGAGCTGAGATCCGGCCACTGCAACTCAGCTGGGTGACACGCGAGACTTCCGTCCTCAAAAAAAAAAAAAAAAACCAGCATATTTTTAATTCCTCTTTGTCTGTAGTCCCCCTGTGCTCTGAATCCGTCAGATACTATTTTAACTAGTTCAGACGTTATGATGGACTATTCCTGTGTTGATAGCTGGGGTTTAAATATCAGACCTTAGACCCATGTACTCCTCACTCCTTCCCCGCATTTTTCTCATCTGTCTTGCTCGCCCATCCGTGCTACGGAATACAGCTTCGGTCCCAGGTGGACCTACTGGGCCACTGTGTTTTCCTTCTTTTGGTAGAGATGCAAGAGCAATGAAATGCATCTTTACTTAGAAACAAGTATTCCCAGCACACCTTCTGAGTACTGGACCCCTGAAAACCTATTTACTGAACGTGGGTAGGATGCCTGTCCCTAACTAACGTCCCCTCCCGAATTCGCCTGGCTTAACCTCCTTGTTTGTTCCGCCACAATCAGCAGGATGTCACCCATGCGTAACATCGGGACTCTGTATCGTCCCCCTACGCAGGATGTCCAGACTGTCAGGTTTCCTCATACTATATGATGACACGGAGGGTAGAAAAGTTCACAGCGCAACACTCGAGCAAGACAGGTAAATTAACTGCTCTGTGTCTGTTCCACAGAATACCAAACTGTTGCTTTCAGAATAAGAAAGCAGCACCATCTTCGCGCAATCAGGTGGCCCATAACATGTACCTGACGGTTTTAACAATCTGGCTTTAGAACAATACTGCTCCTGCTTTAGCAGCGCGTGTAGTCACGAGCAGACAGCTGTTTAGGCTTTGCTGATAATTTAACGATCCGATCATTCTGCCAAGCATCAGACCCTGCTGAGCCAAATGGAGACCGTGATAGGAGGGACCACCACCTGTATCCCTTCAGGGCCTAATAGGCATTAAAACTCCTGTGCATGCAATAGTGGGCTTTGATTTACTATTTCGGTCCTGGGGTGGGGCAGCTTTTAGAGGCTCCTACTTGAGCCTTCCACCCGGTAATGCTGATAGCTCCCGTACCCCACACCACGCCGGAACCCAAAGGTGTTATTTCAGCTGCCAGGGCCAAAGAAAACTAGACCACTAAGTACCATGCGTGGCCAACGAGGGCCTGATTGTACGACATAAAAACATATTACTTTTACCAGGGATCAGGTTGGGACAGGGAAGGGACACACGGCAGGATGACCATTGTCAGTCCACGGTATTCCATCGCTCAACGGAAGTCCCCTTCTGTCCCCAACAATCCTTTGGCAAGGGTCCTGGGTATTCACCTCCCCCAACATCATAGTGACCCAAGCCGGTAAATGGCCATAGTCCCTCTGGGAGAAGACAGTCCCCTGGGAATCATCATGGTCATCTCTTGGCATGGCATTGCTTGCCTACTAGGTCCATGCGGGAGGCCTTTGCCAAATCCTCTTCCAGCCATCGAGCTCTGAATGTGAAAACTGGCCTCTTCCCCCAGCACTTTAGGTCTGAGACAGGTCAGCAAGGGACTTTGGTAGCAACGAAAAACCGGGTGGATCCACGAGATCTAGCAGACGAAGACCATCCTGGCCTAGGCTGCAAGGGAAGGAGAGGGCGTAAGGGAAAGGGAAGATGTTGACCAAACTGCACAAAGTTTTTGATTAGACTACGACATGTAAACCCGTCCTACTCAAAAAAACTAGCAAAAAAATACAAACTACGGGCCGACGGTATGCCGTAGTCCAGCTAGCTTGGGAGGCCTGAGGCAGGCCAGAACGGCGCGTGAAACCCGGAGGCGGAGCTTGGCAGTTGAGCTGAGATCCAGCCACCTGCACTCCAGCCGGGCGACAGAGCAACTCCGTCTCAAAAAGAAAAACCAAAAACAAAAACCTTGTCTTAAATGTTCATATTGATTTACAAATCTGAGATAGCTTTATTTATCAAAACCTCTCTGCGATGAACATCTGTTTGTTTTCCCTTACAACCCTGCTTCCGCGGCTTGCCTTTACCCCTGTTCTTTTCAAAGATAAAAGGTTAAAGCAAGGAGTATTGGTTTAATTGATTTTTAAATTTTTGAAATGCCTTGAAAGTAGTAATTTTTAGATGTTAGTGCAATCGTAGGTGCTTAACGTAAGGCACATCACTTTTTGAGCCAAGTCCTAAGTGTCCCTTTTTATGTAGTATGGATTTGCTGAGAAGTGTCTGGATATTGTGTTATGGAAAATGAAGTTTTAGGGTTTAATTTTGCATATTTGATATTAAATAGAAGACCTATATGTTTGCTGTCACCTTCTGTTTTTCATTGTATGAAAATACTGGTAAGTTTTTAAAAAATAGTAAGATATTGCTTTAAGGGATAGATGGGAGCAGTGTCAACCAAAAGTAAAACTGTGTGAGCACACATGTACATATGTGAGTATGCACCATATTCACATTAAGCAGTGTTAACTGTAACCTCCCCTGTTTAATGGATTTTTATAAAATCTTGTAATTGTGATCTGATATGCTTTCCCTTTTGTTGTCAAGGGATGTTTTAGATGGCGTTCAGCTTGTTCTGTTCCTTCTAGGTGATTGTATGTAAAAGGGAAAAGTAACTATTTCTCTTTCAGGAATCATCATGTTGGTTGGCTGGTTACTGGGAAAAGATATCCTGGAAATGTTTACTATTAGTGTAAGGTAAGTTCCAATACTTCATAATTGGAGTCTCTTTTGCCCTTTTATTTCTCTAATGGACATAGCTTATGTTTCATTATGGAGATCAGTATTACATGGAGCCCATAAGAGTATAATATTGCTACATAAATAGTTCAGAAGTCATATATTAAAATTACCTCCAGAAAAATGAAAATGTGTATATATATGGTAATGAAGAAAACCCACACTAGATGTCTGGAATTACTAATGCATTATTGCCTTTTTATATATAAATAGACAATTAAGGATTGTCTAATTGAAAATTAGCAGCATGAAAGAGCAAATTCACAATATAGAAATTGAATAATCAATTTCAGAGGAAAACGAAACATTGAAGGAATGAAGACAAATTTAAAAACCAAGTGTTTGTATTTTCGGAGACGTGTGAAGAAACTGCATCCATGAGATAGATTGTTGTAGAAAAGGATCAGAGAACAAAAAGAGTTTTTAGAAATTAAGATTATGAATGCTGAAATTAAAAATTCAATTGAAGGAGTGTAATATAAATTCAAAGAGGTTCCCCCCCCAAAAAAGTAAAAAGTCTTAGAAAGAATGAGATAAAATGATGAAGAGGAATAATTTCAGAAATACCATTTCTAACTAATTGGAGTTTCAAAAAGATGTAAGGAGAAATTATGTAAGATATGACACACAAATATTTTCTCACGCTAAGGCAAAATAAGTCTTTATAGATTGAAAGGATTCACTAAATGCCAAGCAGAATGGAAAAAACTTCAAACTTGATACATAATTGTGAAACTAAAGAAAAAATGTCAGGACATCTACAAAGGAAGGGTAACTACGCTGGCATCAGACTTCTCATTAGCAACTGCAGTTTCTACCACAGAGTCTTTTTAGCTTCTAAACATTCCAACTCACAAGACTTTCACAGACCACATCTGATACCTGTGCCCTGAACACAGCAGGGTAACTTCAGGCAGCCTTCTGAGAGTCTGCAGCAGTCCATGTAGCAATTCACTCAAGTAAAAGGAGATAAGGTCAACCTTGTGAGTGTGGGATTTACCTTGGGTTAAAATATTTCTATGAGAGACATATTTTGAAACATGCGTTTCCAGATGCCTGCAAGGGACGTATCTAGTTACAAGAGTTACTACACTTGAGAAACTCAAAGCTATGACTTCCTATAAGATAATTATAACTTTCCTTGTCTAGAGAGATTTTATTAGTCCCTTAATCCCTTAATCATAGCAGTGTTACCTGGCAGCATATTTGATATATTATTCTTACCAGGTCACTAGGTGAATAGAACTGGAGTTAATCAAATCCAGAAGGGGAAGATTATTTTATTAGCTCTTCATCCATAGCAACATCAGATTGCATTAGAATACAGTGGAGCAGTGGTAACAGATTACACGGCAAATGATCATAAATCTGTAAATTAGGCCTAGCCAAAGGATTGGTCCGATTAGTTACAAATCAGTAGGCAAGTAGAATATTCATTTCCTACCCATCCTTGTATGAAATTCCAGCAAAACACGGGTGAAGGAAAGGAGGATGATAATAGACATAAGAAAGGGCAAGAACTTACTTAGGCATCTAAGGAAAAGAAATCCTGGTAGACATCTGTTGTAGGCATAGGAAATATTTCAAATATTAGAACAAAAGTCAATGTCTTTCGAAAAGAAAAGTCAAATAGATTACAAGGAATCAGAATGAATGAGAAGTAAAAAGATATTTGTGATGTAGTGAAGGAATGTGTTTTTTTTTTTGTTTCTCAAGGGGGTGAAAATGCAATTTGAAACTCTTGGTTTAAATTTGTATTTAAAAAAGCCAGGGGTTAAATATAAAATAAATTTAAAATGGGGAATAAGTTTGAGATATTAAACACTTGACATATTATCCATTGGCTCATTTTTAGTTTTTGAGGATTTGGGGTTTTATTTGAGTTCTTTTTGTACAGATTGACATATCATAACTTTCATTTTTTCTTCAAGGTCTTCCAAAGTACAAGAAACTTAAAAATTTTCAAATAGAATAAAACTTATTCTATTTTGCAATTCTGTTTTGCAGTATGGATCCACTGGAATCTTTTATAAATATAAGCTACATTATGGGACCTTTAATGATCCTATTTTTCCTCTTTCTTGAAGTATTTTACAATTTCTTCACACTAGGAATTATTTGCAAGAGTACTGAAGATGACTAAAACAATAAGAAAGCAGAAAAATGATGGAATCATTTAGAAGGTTGATGTAATAAAATAAATCATCACTATTCTCTTATTATTTAGTTTTCTTATTGTGCTGCCTAAAGTATTGCATCATGTAAAAGAAGTCAAAAGGCACAATCTTTAGGTTTGTTTGTTATAGCTTTCATTGAACAAAGGTGAGAATTCAAAATTTTTCACTTTCTACTATAATGGCAAAGAGAATAATTGGCAGAGAAGACTTTTCACAATTATTAGGCAAATCAGAAGATCAGTGCAAGGAGCCAAGTAGAAGCACTGTAGGCTATAATGATGTGGGTGAAATTAATCATGTAAGTGAAATCTTAAGACTGAGTCTTTGGATGATGATACTCTAGATCTTCTGAAACTCCTTAATTTTGATGAGTGAGCAGTCTGTTTTTAAGGACAAAAAAGAAAAAGGTATTCTCTTCCAGTTAATCATTCTGCAGCAAGGACTCTATCATGCAGTAGTTTTTACCAAGAATCTGGACCATCTCTTTTTGCTAAACGAATGTATGACCCTATTTCATTCATCTTTTATGATGCTTGTTTACCAGCATTGACTTCATACTGCTTTTAAATGGAGAAATGCTGAAGACTGGTATGAATATAAAAGTGATTAAAAGGAAATAGATTATGCAGAAGTAGAAAAATTCATTGGATTCATCATTGTAATTGGTGTTTATAAATCTAAAATTGAAAATGTTTTGCAGTCATGGACCAAAGAAGGTAGCTCTTCTCTTTTCAACACAATTGGGAACCATCAATGGTTTTAGAAGTATTGCAATTTGACAGAACAAATGCAAGAAAGAAGAACTAGATTGATAAGCTAGAGCCTGTTAGAAATATGTTTTGAAATCTGAAATCAGTATTTATAAGATAAGTATGTTCCAAGTTCACCAAAAACAGTGGATGAGCAGTTAGTTACATCCAAAATATGTTACCCATTTCAGGTATAGATGCCTTCAAGTCCAGGAATAGTTTTGGGTTACCGTTAAAATGAAAATTTAGAGTGAAGTTTTTTACAATTTATTTATTCCTCTGCAAAGTTTTGCTAAGATGACTTACATATAAAAGATTGAAAAGATTCATTGTATCTAGATTGTAAGTGATGCCTATTTTTCCTTAATGGAAGCATTTTAAAAAGGAAAAAAAAAAAAGAAAAAAAAAAAGTATTCCCTTTGAACTAGGAGCATTCTCTTTGAGTAGCCCAAAGGAGAAAAGGAAGTATTAATGATAATACATATTTCTTGACTCTTCAGTGTGTATTGTGTAGCTAATAATATTGTTGCTTATTTGCTTTCAACTTTAAAATCAACCAGTAAATAAAGCATGAAAAAGCCAATTATGGTTGTAGAAACGGATGCTAATGTACTAGATTACGCAAAGAAAAGTTGGTAATGGAAATTAGGAAGTAGAAGCAGCAGAGGGAACAGTGGTAGAATGAAAGGTTGGATTGCTTATGTCCTTATTTCTAGCAGAGTCAAGTGATAGTATTTGGAATGGCACAAAGAAAGACTTGTCATTTTTTAATTATAAAAGACGAGTGAAATGATTTTTTAAACTGTGATAAAATACACATATCATAAAAATTTACAGTTTTAAGGAGTTAAGTTGGTGGAGTTAAGTATGGTCACAGTGTTTTACAACTGTTAACCGCTATCTAGATTCAGAACCTTTTCATCATGCCAGAAGAAAACCCTGTACACATTAAGCAGTCGCTCCCCAGTTTCCCTCTTTCCCTAGTCCCTGGCAACCATTCACTAATCTGCTGTCTCTATGGATTTGCCTTTTCAAGATATTTCATATAAATGGAATGATAGAATATGGGACCTTTTGTATCTGTCTTTTTTCACTTAGCAAGGTTTTCAGGGTTTATTCATGTTGTAACATGTGTTAGTACTTCATTCCTTTTTGTGGCTAAAGTAATATTCCATTGCATGGATGTCACAATTTTACATTTATCAGTTGATGAATAGTTGGCCTGTTTCCATCTTTTGGCTGTCGTGAATAGTGTTGCTGTGAACATTCATGTATAAGTTTTTGTTTGAATGTTTATAGTTATCTGTATTTTATAGATGAGGACAGTAAACTGCAGACCTAGATTAGTAAGTAGCTCAGGATCACACAGGTAAGAGATGGTGAAGCCAGGGATACAAATCCAGGCAATTTGATGTCAGAACCTACATTTTTTAACCACTGTGCTTAACCTGGCAGCTACTAGGTATCCAGTAAATGTTAACTTTCTCTTCCTTTTGAGAAGTTTATTTTTTACGTATTGACTATATTAATTTTGCATTTTATTAAGCTTTAAGTAACATCCAATTTAAATTTTGCTGTGAGTACTGTTTAACCTATATTTTAATACTTTGTATATATTGGTTATAGTTTGGCTGTAGCAGCAATTCCTGAAGGTCTCCCCATTGTGGTCACAGTGACACTAGCTCTTGGTGTTATGAGAATGGTGAAGAAAAGGGCCATTGTGAAAAAACTGCCTATTGTTGAAACTCTGGGTAAGTCTGTGTTAAGAGCATTCTTATGCAATGATGCATAAGTTTATGTCAATAGTGAATCATCTCAGAGTTTTACAGTTTTTATCTTAGAGATTTGCATAATGATGTTTGGCTTATGGCAAAATTGGATATGGTTTTAACAACCGAAAAAGGCAATTAAAAATTCCTATCCCTTAGGTAAGGGGCTTGAAGAGAAATCTTTCTACATCATAATGTTCTAATGCTCAAATCATGTTAAGAAAAATCCATATAACAACTGAAATCTTGGAGTAAAATTAATAGAATTTTTTTCTTGTGACATGTCAAAGAAGATAATGTATTATTACAGATCCCAAATGTCATACTTGAGTTGAATTTGCCTGTAAGAACAGTAAATTTACAGTAGTTATATTGCTCTAACAAAACTTTATGTGCAATATGCTTTGAAACTCCAAAAATGTACTGAATTTAATTTCTAGTTTGTATTTTAATATCTCCTCCATATACGAGAAACTGAAATACCTTGAAAAATCCCTACTGAAGAAATTATATGGGTTTATATTTAGGAACTCTCCAAACTTTCTAGCAAAGATGTTATATAAGATCATTACATAAAGCTAATGTGAAGTAGCTTTGTAGAAACTTAACTGTATGTAAATAAGAAAATGTCAACATCTAATTTTTATTTTTAATTTCAGAAACTGCTTATGCTGAAACAAGCATAATGAGGGAAGTTAATCTTAAATTACCAATGAGTTTGATCTCTATAAATAAATTCAGAGAAGTAGGACAGGATTCTAGTCTTTGATTTGTTTTTTAAGTGAACCTATATTTCTCCTTGATTCTTTTGGTGACTTGTAATGATTTAATTCTTTAGGCTGCTGTAATGTGATTTGTTCAGATAAAACTGGAACACTGACGAAGAATGAAATGACTGTTACTCACATATTTACTTCAGATGGTCTGCATGCTGAGGTACTCTATAGGTTTTTAACAAACAAAAACAGTATCGCTTTAAGAAACTTGATGTTTGACATTCCTAACAGTTCCAGTGTCTTACCTTCAAAAGGGCTGTAAATTAGTAGCGGAGTTATTTTCTCTCTCTGTGATTCTACCAAGTCTTTGTCTCATTCCGCTTGTACACTTGTTCAATCCAAAAACTTTGATTCCTCTTTGACATCTCTCTTTCGGTCACCCCTTCATCTATCCATAATTAAATCCTGCCAATTTTGACTTCTAAAGAATTTTCCCAGCCATCTACTTTATAGCTAGTTTCTTTAAGTTACCGCCATTTCTCACCTGCCACTCTGATAAAGCTTTTTGACTGGTCTTTATCTATTCTTGATGTCCTCACTCCATAAGTAGCTCGAGGGATCTTTTTAGAACCAAATTTTAAGCATGTCACTCCATAAATTAAGATACTCCAATGGTTTTCCATTGTGATCAGGATCCTGAACTGTGGCCTCTCAAAGTCGTACATGTTCTGTCCCTTATTTTCCCCTCTATCCTTATATGCTACCCTTTGCTTTCTATGCACTAAATATACTGGCTTTATAGTTCTTTTGATGTGACACAATTATTCCTACTTTAGGAACTTTGCTGCCTTTCTCACTGTTTAGGATAGTCTAATACCTCTTCATCCTTTGTACCTTAATTCAACCCACTTCTTCAGAACACCCAGAAGTGGCCCTATGTTATATGTTTTCTTAGCATTTCATACCTCTTAGTCCTTATCTTAGGTAAAATTTTCTGTCCCTTTTCCCCATTATGAGAGAACAGGAACTATATTGCCTAGCACAGAGCCTGCTTCATAGTAATAAATGCTTGATAAATGAATAAATGAATGAATGAATCATTTTATTTTAACAATTATATATTGATACATTGTCTCTTAAGTGCACATCACTGTGCAGTAGTTCTTCCTCAAGGTGCTTATGGACAAGTCTAATCCTACTCAGTCTGTGCAGGATTTTTGACTGGAATGCTCTTAACACTACTTATGTTGGGTACAGTAATTTAAAATGTATTTATAGCTAATTCATTGAGAAAAATAAGCATTAGACAAATTGACAGAAGTTGTACTTGGGTTTATTTACGTCCATTTTACATAGGTTTTGAAAAGAGACTCGATATTTATGGTGTTAGATTTGGTCAAAGATCCCCCATGCTGTGTTGGTGAATGTGCCCTTTCTGGATGATTCAGAAGGGTCATTGGGACTACATGTGCTTATATGATCCAGATATGGAAGGTAGAATATTAGTTTTTCTTTTAAGGTCATGCTATATGTAATGCATTAATCATTTGTTAATTGTTTACCTCTAAATTATGTCATGAAACATTTTATATTTATTTTTATTTTTAATAGAGATGGATCTTGCTTTGTTGCCCAGGCTGGTCTTGAACTCCTGGGCTAAAGTGATTCTCCTGCCCCAGCCTCCCAAGTGTTAGGATTACAGCTGTGAGCTACCACACCTGGCCACTAAATTGTATGATTTTTATTGTGAAATTTCCTTTTGTTTGGCTTGGTTTGTTCTAGACATCTGATATAAATACCTGGTTTGTCTCTACCTCTGATTTTTAAAATTGGTGTGTAATATGCTGTGTTAAAGTGATTTGTAAGTGCTAGCATATATCTCAATGTCTCCAGGCCTGCATGTTTGCAGAAAGAATACTTTGGATACTACTTTTGTCAAAGTCACAGGTTTGTGTTATATGTTACATATGGTAATGGATTTGAGTTCTTTGCAAACTGTAGTATGCTATATAAGTGTAATGTCATATAAGTTTAAGCTTACTTATGTATATTTTCATAGCTTATTCTTTTAATAGCATATTATAAGTAGAAAACAATGTCTTCTTAGATTAATAATTTTGATGAGAATTAGAATCTATATTTCTTCACTAAATGTCCTTTTAAAAGACAAATTTTAATGCTTTTCTAGATAAACACTTTAACAGTGTTATTATAAATAAAATGAACAGAACTCAGTATAGTTTTTGGGTTTCATAGGTCTTATCACCAGCATGTGTTTGTAGTGTTTGTATTATTGATCCCACTTTGTGACCTTTAGGTTACTGGAGTTGGCTATAATCAATTTGGGGAAGTGATTGTTGATGGTGATGTTGTTCATGGATTCTATAACCCGGCTGTTAGCAGAATTGTTGAGGTAAATACTTTATTTTCCAAGACGGTGACTTTCTTCATAATGACCTAAGACACAGTGATAGGTTCATAGTTTATGTGTATTTTTCTTAGGCGGGCTGTGTGTGCAATGATGCTGTAATTAGAAACAATACTCTAATGGGGAAGCCAACAGAAGGGGCCTTAATTGCTCTTGCAATGAAGGTACGTACCTAAATTTCTCTTCTTTGACAAATGAGACACTACCCTCACAACAGAACGCAGTGTCATCAATTTCAGTATTACTGGTTTTTAAGTATTGAGTGAAAAAAACTCATACTATTACATTGTTTTTACTATCTTTTGGGTATCAGTTTTACTCCTGTAAATATCAAGTATAGAGGTTTTTCAGTATAACTTTATTGTTCACATGCAAGTTACAAACTAATGAACAGTCATTGATTTCTTATGAAGAAATGTTCCTGTCCTCCACAATATTGAGATCTGCATGTGAAATACTTCATAAATGTATGTAATTGCTAATAAATACTAACTTTTGAATGAATAAAGGGCAACATTCTTTAGTATTTCTATGTAAAGATAACACAGTCATGAGAAAACAGCTTTCTTTTCTCAGTCTTTCCTTTCTCTCCTTTGTTAATTTTTCAAAATGATTGTGAAGTTATAATTTGTTTTGGGGAGAAGAAGTCTCAGTTAACTTTTCATCTGTCCCAATCTGTCTCCTTATCCCCTAAGTCCTGTATTTGATTCAGTGAGAAACCTAGTAAGTGCAGGCTGTCACTCACAACAAAAATCACTATTCCTACCTCAAGAGTATTCAAAGGAAATTTTGATACTTGTGTAAAGCAAGAGGCTTCTAAATGAGGTTGCTTGAAATGAGAGACAGTATAGAATTACAGGTTATTATAACATATTTAATGAAATAAAATTTATAGTTTTAGAATATATAGTTTCCTTGGCAGAAAAGCACATTTCTATATCATTTGGTCTCCTTACAACTAAAATATTAGTATAGTACTCAAACATGAATTAGTTATCAAGTATTTCCTGTGTTATGCTTATAAAGATATTAGTTTCTCTGAGAGATGAAGAGTACGAACCTATCTTTTTATGGGCAGAGACCTCACATTTTAGGTAGGGAATTTATATTGACATTCTTGAGACAAAAGGCAATCCAAGACAGCAGACACTGAAATCTTAAACATTAAGTCACATATAAGAACAATGCAGATTCCGAGCTGGGATATGAGGGCTTTGAAAGATAGGAAGGGTTTAGATGAGGTAAGCTAGGGAATGAACTAAAGTAGAAGTAGAGAGGAGTAAAAGAGCATAGAGTGGGTTGTGGCTAATGAATTGGCCAAACTGGATAAAATGAAATGTATTTGTGCGACCAGGAGGATTTTTTTTTTTTTTTTTTTAAGACGAAGTCTCGCTCTGTCGCCCAGGCTGGCGTGCAGTGGCACCATCTCCGCTCACTGCAAGCTCTGCCTCCCGGGTTCACGCCATTCTCCTGCCTCAGCCTCCCGAGCAGCTGGGACTAAGGCGCCCGCCACCACGCCCGGCTAATTTTTTGTATTTTTTAGTAGAAACGGGGTTTCACTGTGTTAGCCAGGATGGTCTCAATCTCCTGACTTCATAATCTGCCCACCTCGGCCTCCCAGAGTGCTGGGATTACAGGCGTGAGCCACCACGCCCGGCCGACCAGGAGGATTTTTATAGACACTGTATGTGGTGGGTTTCTGGAGAACCTTTAAGGCCAAGAAGAAGAGCCTGAACATGTTTCAATAGAAAATAGAAAGCAATACATGGTAGAATTTTGAGTAGTTTAAACATTTTTTGATATTTGGAAGATATTTTTTGTTATTTTTGACATTTGCATATTTGATACTGATGCAAAGGTGATTGGGGAGGAAAACAACAATATGACTGGTAGTATTCAGGATATAAAGTGGTAGAGGGTAAGGGACTAGGATGATAACAAGTGAGACATTTGAGTCCCTAAGAAGTGAGAGATTTAATCTGAAACTTCTATTGATTATAAAAATACATGCTCAGAATTGGTTGGGTAGTTTTATTTATTTATATCCTGCTTCCTTTCAGAATTTGAGCTGGTAGAGGGATTAATACAGTGGGTGTGGGAGGTTTAGTCAGTGTGCAATCCAGAAAACCTGCCTTAGACTCTATCTACATACCTGGGCTTTCATGTTGAAAATGTATACTGTTGTGTAGGGAAGTACGGTATATATAGATGGAGCATTTGTTCTTTCACCGTTAACTGAAAAATAATCCAGCCAACCTAGCTACAAGTTGTGATCCTTGTTCTTTGTTAAAGGAAAAAATAATCACATATAGGTGAGAATTAACTTTCTTTTTGTGCTATACAGATGGGTCTTGACGGACTTCAACAAGACTACATCAGAAAAACTGAATACCCTTTTAGCTCTGAGCAAAAGTGGATGGCTGTTAAGTGTGTACACCGAACACAGCAGGTATCCATGTGTTTAAAGAACACGTATTTCCTGTTCAGCTTAGATGACTAGTTTTTCATTTACCGTCCACCTTTGGGTTTAAATAGTCATTGTACATAATAAAGACTTGTTGCTTGAAAGTACGTGTAATTAATAGTACACTCATCTCTTACTGTTTGTGTTCCCTTTGATAGTCTTTCCTTATAGAATCCATGCATAGATATATTCATGGAGTTGTTGCTATGTGACCAAACAGCTTAAGTGAGTTGTAGCCTAGTCTCAGTCTCCTAAAGCTTGTGACATCTGGTTTTTTCAGAATTTTTTCTGTTCTTCATGACAGTTCCTTGTAAGGCCTTTGCAGACTGTGTTTCAATCTGTGTTCTTTCACTGAAGGAATGGCTTATCTTCAGAACAAATGAAACCACCTTACTTTTTGGAAAGTAGTTTGCAAATGTATGTAATTCATGTTGATTACTCCAGCTTACAAACTGATGAAATGACATACCAGTATTTTAAGCTGCCACCTTGTTCCTGGGTGCTTTAGAAATTTTTCCAGTTAGTGTAATAAGAGTTCTGAATTATCTAGAGTGTATGATTATATCACTCATAGTTGCTATTACCAGCTTGATGTTTAAACTTAGCTTTAAAAAATATTGAAGCTTAGGCTGGATGCAGTAGCTCACGCCTGTAATCCCAGCACTTTGGGAGGCCAAGGCTGGTGGATCACCTGAGGTCAGGAGTTTGAGACCAGCCTGACCAATATGGTGAAACCCAGTCTCTACTAAAAATACAAAAATTAACCAGGTGTGGTGATGTGTGCCTGTAGTCCCAGCTACTCAGGAGGCTGAGACAGGGGAATTGTTAGAATCCAGGAGGCGGAGGTTGCAGTGAGCCGAGATCGCCCCACTGCACTCCAGCCTGGGCGACAGAGTGAGATTCCGTCTAAATACACACACACACACACACACACACCCCCACACCCACACCCCCTTAAACTTTCCTTCACTCTATTGCCTAGGTTGAGTGCAGTGGCATGACCTTGGCTCACTGCAACCTCAACCTCCTGAGCACAAGTGATCTGCCCACCTCAGCTTCCCAAGTAGCTGGGACTGTAAGCACGTGCCACCATACCGGGCTAATTTTGCTTATTTTTTGTAGAGATGGGGTCTCATTATGTTACCTAGGCTGGTCTTGAAGCCCTGGACTCACATGATCCTCCTACCTTGGCCTCCCAGAGTGCTGGGATTACAGGCGTGAGCCACTATGTCTGGACTTACTTGTTATTTTTATAGTTCCTTTGACAGGAATGACTGGTTGGTTATATGTTTTTACCTATGAGCAAACACATGATTTTTGCATATGATACCTATGGTTACATCTCTATAGAAAACAGGAATGAAGGGATCTCCCTTCATTCATATAAGTGGAAACATACTGGTTTTAAAAGGAAGGCCAGGTTGGTTAACACTGAACTTTGAATTGAAGTCTTCCAGGAACTATGTTCATGAGGGCCAAAAAAAAGGTTTCCGTCTGTTCTTTAAAGGAACTTTTACAAACTTAGGTGAAAGAAGACAATTGGAAATAAAACTACGAAAATAAAATGCCTTACACTTTAAACCTTTTAATGTAAAGCTTTCAGAAATTGCATTAAACTTAAGCGATTTTCAGCTGATGGCCCTTAACCATATAGTTACATGGCAAGAATATGCATGTGACTTTTTTGGATAGGTCTGTTTCACAACATTTTGTAAACCATCGCTCAGTACTTGAAGATAGTGTGGCTCATGTAATGTTTAATAATTTTACTTTTCGGCAACTTTTAATGTTATCTCACCAAAGTTTTACATTGGAAGATTAAATCTTCTTAGTTGTGGGAGTGGGGGACAGAAAGTAGCAGGATATGTTTGGAAACATTTGATTCTTCTTCTCATTTGCTAACCTGAAGAGTTCCTCTTGCAAAACAAAACCAACCAGTGAAATGAACGAACAAAACCCCAACCCACAGATGTGACTCAGGATCTGTAAGAAGTCTGCCTGACACAGATAGGGAAACTTACCAATTTAAAAGTAACTTCAGTGGCTAGTTTGCTTTTAAAGGACTTTCACTTGAACATGACTGTATATATTTATTATCTCCCTGAAACCCATGAAAATCACTAACAAGGAATAGAAGATATAAACTCAGAAAGTATAGGGAAGATTCAAAGGTGCCAGGTACCTTTGGAGGCAGGGAGTAAGGCATAAGGCTAAAAATAGAGATATTTGAAATTCTGAATAAGGAACCAACAGAACTCCCCCAAGTACCTTTGCTGCTTCTTTAGGCCAGATGGTTAGCCCTCCTTTACCCCTGTGGAACACCAGAAATCTGGGGATAAGAGTAGAGGGTAGGATTAAGCCTTAAGACTGAAAACAGTGATTAAGAAGATGTCATTGTCCTGAAGGGTTAAGCCCTAGTTCTTAACACCACTTGTCTCTTAGAATACATGAAGGCTGGCATCTCCCTACTCTCATTCCCTCAGTAAGAAGATTCAAGAGTTTTAGAAAAGCTGCCTGGTCTCGTATGGCAGCGGTCCCCAGCCTTTTTGGCACCAGGGACTGATTTCCTGGAACGCTTCCGCAGGCAGGGAATGGTTTTGCGATGACACTGGTCCACATCAGATCCTCAGGCATTAGATTCTCATAAGGAGTGCACAACCTAGATCCTTTGCATGTGTAGTTCACAATACGGTTCATGCTCCTATGAGAATCTCATGCCCTGGCTAACCTGACAGGAGATGGGAGCTCAGGCAGTAGTGCTTGCTTGCCTGCAACCCACTTCTTCTTTGTGGCTGGGTTCCTAACACACCACGGACTGTACTGGTCCACTGCCTGGGAGTTGGGGAGCCCTGTCATAAGGGGCACCTCTGAGCTAAACTCTTTGTTCATTAGAAGCACTTACCTACTCCTGGACTTTATCTCATCACCCTACAAGAAGGCTTCCCAGTTGATCCTTAGCTCAGCCAGTGCTCATGGAGCTTCTAGTCTTTTAATGTCTTCACTCTTAAAAACAAGTGACAGGGAGGGATTACTAGATACTTGGAGAAAATCTTTAGTATGAAAGTCAAAGACCAAACCAACAGAGAAAGGGGTCTTAGAGAAAGGTGATGACAGATGCTAAAGAAAATTTCCAAAAAACATAAAAAAGATGAAATAACTTTCAATGAAATGTTTATCAAATAAAGTCAAGAAATGTATCAAAGTAGAACAAAGTCAAAGGCGTGTACAGTATAAAAGGTAAGAAAAATCAAAATAAATACAGAAGATCCAGTAATTACCCCATGGTGGTTATAGGAAGGGTAATAGGAATAGGTAATAGGAAGAAAGAACAGAAAATGAGAAGATTTTATCAACTAATGTTGGAAACTTTTCCAGAATGAAAAGACTTTGGCATCTAGAATAAAGTGGCCCACCAACTGCTCAGCACAATATGTGTGTTAAAGCAGGGTGGGGTGATGGATAAACACAAGACCCATAATTAAGAAATTTGAGAACACTTGGAGAGACAGAATTTGAAGAGCTTCTAGAGAGCTTTAAGCAAAGGGGAGATCATATAAAAGGGCTTAGGAACTAAAGTACAGTACTCTGCCACTTAACCCAGCGGGATACACTCCAAGACTCCTAGTGGATGCCTGAAACCATGAGTAGTATTGAACCTTATATATACCATGTTTTTTTCGTTCCAGTAACATAGATGGCTACTAAGTGATTAATGGGCAGGGAGCATATGCAGTGTGGATATGTTGGACAAAGGGATGATGTCTTTGGCAGGACAGAGTGGGATTTCATCGCCATACTCAGAATGTTGTATAATTGGAAACTTATGAATTATTTATTTTTGGAATTTTCTATTTAATATTTTTGGACTGCTGCTAAGTAACAGAAATTGCAGGAAATTAAACCCTGGATAAGGGGGCACTACTTTAATTTCTTTATACTTTTCAATGAAAACATTGACACTGTAGGCTGGAAGATAATAGAGCAAAGCCTTCAAAATGAGAGGAAATTTATCCCTAGCTAAACTTACAAATGTCAGGATAGAAGAAAAATGTGTCCTACACCACACACCCTTTCTTAGAAAGATATTGGTGGGTTAAAAAAACAAAACAAAAGCGAGACTTAAAGACTTAAAATTCAGTGAGGATAGAGGTAGAGCATTGTTCCTAGATACCAGTGATACAGCAGGCCTAGAAATCAGCCAATTAGAAATGGAAAGAAGAGTGAAGGAAGGCGGTCTCCGGTAATAATATGGAGGTAATAGCTTATCTGCTTCTTTGTTGATGTGAAAAAATGCCATGAGAAGGGTTTTATATTACATTGAAGAGTTTAGGAAGAATGAATGATAGGTATACAGAAAACAAAGCAAATTAAAGAGGTGGTTATTAACTTTCTAAAAGACGAAACTTGAACAGGAAAAGAAGTATCCTATTTGAGCTATCAATCAGGATAGGCCATGAAAACAGCATCATGCTCTCCTGCTGCCTCCCTGTCCCCAAATATCTGCTCATTGTAGTTATTTGGGAACTCAGGCAGATGGAAGCTCCATTTTAATGTGAGCACACACTGTCACAGCAGGGGTAGAAGAATAGGAAATTATGCACCGGCACCTACATTTCCATTTGGAAGTGACACAAATACTCATGTTTATTGGCTAAAGCAAGTCATGCCTGACTTTTGGAGTGAGGAGGGCAATAGGGAAATACACTCCTACCTACCAGGAGAGCTGGGATATTTGTGAATTGCTGTAGTCATTACCACACTTGTCTTAGCGGCAAGGAGTCTTGATGTAAACAAAATACTGGCAGATTTTCCTTTAACTATATCATAACGATGGGGAGGGGGGAATAGGTAGTGGGAATGGGGACATTAACATCTGTCACAATAGACAGTGTATAAACTTGATACCTGAAGGAGGAGCAGTATAAACATGTTAAAAACATGAGGGTAAATATCAGAGAAAACAGCTAAAAATGTTAAAATTATTTTGCTTCCATGAAGTAGGACTAGTGGTGAGAAGGGTTGGACAGGAAACTGCAGTATTTCATTATAAGCTTTATAAGCTTATTTACCATGATAAAAAATAAAAAGTCTGATAATACCCATAAATACACTGTGATTGGGAGAATTAAATGGCGTTTTAGGTAGCTAGGGAGATATAGATGTATATAGTAGCTAATAGAGAACTTGAACCATTGTGAACTGTTACTTCTCTACCATTTCCTGTTGTGTTGCAGTGAGCCTCTTTCCACATTCAGAGTGCCAAATTTGGGGCTTAGTATATAGCACTGCCTTTAATGTGTGGGATGGTGGGATAGATGTTTTCTATAAAAGATACAGAAAGCTCTATACAGAAATATTTAATCTTCAGAGTTCAGGTGGCAGTCAAAACCTTAGGCTTGAGTAGCTTCTCTGGGAATTATGAGAAATGAATGGCACTTAATTTTGGACTCCAATGGAAGGTATGTACAAGTTGAAATTAAACTTGTGTTTGGTACATTTTTTTCTTAGGACAGACCAGAGATTTGTTTTATGAAAGGTGCTTATGAACAAGTAATTAAGTACTGTACTACATACCAGAGCAAAGGGCAGACCTTGACACTTACTCAGCAGCAGAGAGATGTGTACCAACAAGAGAAGGCACGCATGGGCTCAGCGGGACTCAGAGGTAAGGCTATTTCAGCATAGTCCCCTGGGGTGGAAAGGTAGTGCCTTTTTTTAATTGCAGATGAATTCATGCTTCACATCTGAGCTGTCCAACTCTCTTCCAGGCTTTGTAGAACCCTTGCCAGTATTGAGGTGTTGTGTTTTAGTTGGTTAATTGGCCCTCAAAAGGTGAAAATTTGAGAATGTAGCAAAATATGAATCACTGGTTCTTTTAGATCTCCGAAGGTCTCTGAGTAGCTGATAGAAATTTTATTTTAAACAAGTTTATCTTGTGAGAAGGGAAATGGATCAGGGTAAAATGGTGTTACTCTCTTTTTAACATTTTGTCTTAAAGACAAAAATAATTTTCTAAAAATTGAGTCTGAGGCCTCTAATATATCCTTTAAGGTGGTTGCTAACTTGATCTGTTACTGTTCACCAGGGAGGTAAAGAAGTCCCCAGATACTGCTTACTTATATGCTGCTGACTGAGCAGTGATGGGGAGAGGGTCTGCTGGACACACACACATCAGGCCACCTCTCCTAGGGATGTCATGTGTAAGACTAGGGGGTTGGTGGTTGGTGTCCTAACCTGATTCTTACCTTCTGGATAGTCATCTGGCTTCTGCAGAATATATATAGTTATGTAGTCTCAGAGCACTTGGAAGAGTTGGCTTCCTTAATTTTATTATTTTAATGAAATAGGAGTCTAAGCACTACAGTTTCTGGGAGGAAGAAAAACAAGTTATGTGAGAAATGTTTTTATTTGTTGTTCACTTAAGCAAAGGCTTTTTTTGAATTTTAAACATTTGTATGGTTATATAGGGCTTCTGTTCTTAAAATAAACTAAGTTTGGAAAGGTACTCTTATCAGCAGAGAACACTGCTCCCAGCCTGCTGCCATTGCTTTATGCCCTTCTCTCTGAACCTTCTGTGCCAGCCCCCAGGCTGCTGAACCAAGATCACTCCTCATAGCCCTGCCCCCAGAGCTTGGTGCATCTCATCTGGGATATGGGCTGTATTGTGACCATCTTAACACTTCATCCCCTGTCTCCAAGGAAACGGGAGGCAGAGACTCGTGGCTGAGAAGTTATTTTGCAAATGGATATTTTGGATGGAAAAAAATTTAAAGGAAAACAACTTTTCCTTCCCCCTTTTAATGTAAGAGGCTTTGATGGCAGGTTCTAGAGTTTCTGGGGTTTCATCCCAAAGACCTGAATCTGGAACATTCTCTGGATCCCCCCCACCTCAGTCCTCAAGCTTTCTGGACCCCTGAAGCCAAGGCAGATTCTTTCTCTCAGCATCAGTTCTGGGGCAGGAGGAACCTCTTTTCTGGTTTACCTGGGCCAGACCCAGGGTCTCTGAAACCACAGGGTTTTGATATGTTTTTATCAAGCCAAATGTGCAAATGCTAACTGACACTCTGGAGAATTGAGCACAGGGGGTGCCCTCGTACATTGTACCCTCGCTCCCTTCTGAACAGTTGGCAGACCAAACTGTTTGGTGGCCCCAGCTGCTGGAAGCTGAGATACTCTGGCTCAGGGTAATGCTTTGTTCCCTTTACATTCCTCAACTTTCCACCTCAGCTAGGGAAAGAGAATGACAGTTAAGGCTTGGCCCAGGATTACAATCCTTAGAGCAAGTGGGAGTTTCAGAGACTTAAGGGGCACTGCAGGGAGGCCTTGCTGCCACAAAATTAGGGTTTTGATTGCTAAAGCCTGTGTATGAAGGGGCAATGGCAGCTCCACTGAGCCAATCCTGGGAAGACTGGTGCAGAGGGCCTGTTACTCCCCTGATTCATCTCCTTCTTGATTGCTGACATCTGGGGCTTTGACCCTTTCTTTTTAAATTACTTTTGCTAAGATGCACTTACTTATTTATTTTTTAAAAAGACCGTTGGTGGAAAAAATGTAAACCCATTTCTCTCCTCTTTTGAACTTCTGGGATGTAATCACTTCGAGTTTGTTGGCTTTGTTTCCAGCAATTAATACAGCATTAAAAGAGCGGAGAAAAAAAGGTAGGGAACTCTTAGCAGCACATAGCAAGAGGTTTTAAAGTGGCTTGCATTTAGAGGACTTAAAGAGGTTTTGAAGGTCTAGTATATGTTCCCTCTTTTTCTTAGTTTCTGGAACGGAGTTTTCCTACCTCATTATAATGACTAACTCTTTTCATATGAAGGATTGTGGAGGTTTGTGTATGTATGTTTTGTATTGTAACATTATGAAGTAGAGCAGAGTTGGTAGAGGGGAAAGTTTTTGTTGCACAGGGTTTTGGGAACCCTGTTCTGCTCATTTGTCTCTTGCTTCATGTCTTTTCTTCTTTATCTCCCCTTGTGCTCCATTTCCCTCCTCCCCCTGCAATTACCATAATGAAGAACAGAAAGATTTTAAACCTCAGTTGATATGTACTTACGTTATATCTTATAAAACTTAAGTTTCTAAAATACTGTGATTCTTAATTTTGATATTAGAGTATATTTTGTTTTATGTCGGATTCTTCACATGAAAAAAGTTTACCTATCCTTGACTCAGAGAGTAACAACAGATTTTCATTGGTGCTAAAGAAGCAAATAAATGCAGGATACTAACCTCTAGACTAGTGCCACCCCTCCATTAGGAGTGTGCAGAGCTGATCTTTCCATCTTAGGATTTGCTGACGTACATTTTTGTCACTGTCCCCTTCTGTTACCATCAGCCTCTATCCCAAACACCAGAAACTGTGAAGTGGCTCATTCTTTCAAGGGTGAAAGCCTTTGGAGCCCACATCTACATAAATAATTAGGTATATGACTCTTACATTGGAAAAATAGAATTACTTGCCTTTAACCTTGATTTTTTTGGGGGGGATATATGTAATCTTTCATACCTTCTGCTTGAACAAGAATAGATACTTTCTTTGCTCTCTCTGGGGCTTTTCAGTCTCCCCTTGACTTATTTATGTTTAGTTTGTATGTGCATGTTGTTCAGTCTAATGTCTCAGATGCAGGTACATCCCTTTGGTTAATGAAAGTAGTTACTGGAGTTCCATAATTCTGAGAGCAAGCTAAATGATATTTGGGAAATGTAAAGTACTTTATACTTTATCTTACATGCCCAAGGATGACAGGGAAATAAGTAGAAATAATAATATGATGGTGTTATTTATATACTCTTAGAGAACCAAAGTTACAAATAAGAAATGTCTGTTCATGTTATGGAAAGAGTAAAAGAATCCAAACTATTGTTGGTATTTATGGTTTTACAACCGCTTTCAAATTAACTTTACCTTCCAGGAGTTTTCATGTACAAAGTTGTTACAGGCTGTGTATAATTAATTAATACAGCCTTCTCTTCAAAGTGTTTGATTTTTCTGGAGATCTTGCAAATAGAAAGATGAAGATCCATTAGAAGCGACCTTCAAAGGTGTTTGTTTAAAATTGACTTTAAAGCTTGACAAACCCATAGTTTCTCTAAATAATTAATTCTATTTTCTAAAGAGGCAGTAGTTCCTGTTGAAAGTAGCTGCATGTGGTTACTATGTGAAGATACTGTTCATTTTCCATCTCTTGCCTACTCTGCCCTTCAGTTCTTTAGTTTGATTCTTTTTAGTTAAAACAGCTTAAAGGGACCCCATATCCAGAACCATTAAACTATAATGTTTTGGTCTGTAATCATTTTGATTTTACAAATGACATTATAGTCTTAAGTGATTTATTTAAGAAGTGTTACTGTCTCCAAATTCTATCAACTAAATTCTGATGTTTTTGTGACTCACTTTTTTTGTTGTTGTTTGGATTTTATTATTTCCTAAGTTCTTGCTTTGGCTTCTGGTCCTGAACTGGGACAGCTGACATTTCTTGGCTTGGTGGGAATCATTGATCCACCTAGAACTGGTGTGAAAGAAGCTGTTACAACACTCATTGCCTCAGGAGTATCAATAAAAATGATTACTGGAGATTCACAGGAGACTGCAATTGCAATCGGTATAACTAGACTGCTTTCTTTTGTTTTCGATAGTTTTTCTTAAAATACTGTGGTGCATAATTTTGTGAACTATTAGATATGAATATGTTTATGTAATATTGAGATTATACGGTTGAAATCGACTCATGGTTTTGCTCATGGTCTATATAAAGTTTGCAAAACTGGTTATAGTTTAAAAAGTAATAACATTGACATGCATAACTAAATCATGAAATCACATGTATTTTATTCACAGAGGGTAATTATTTTTAATCTCATGATCACCGCGATGACAGAATAAAAGCACTAGATGATGAATGTCAAAGAAAACATGAAACTTAGTTTTCCCTTTCAACTTAAGTATAATTTTCAAAGCAGACTTGTGCATAATTTGGAAGAAAATAGCTTGTTATATGTATTTGTTTTTTATCATGTATACCTATATTTGAATGCTATTTAAGATTACCTTAAGAAGTATAATAAGGGCAAAAAAGAGACTGAAAGTGAATTTCCCAGAGCCTCTAAACTGTAATTCATACTGATAAATTTAACAGTTGGCTAAACTCCATTAATTCTTATTTGGAGAGGGGTTAGTCCAGGAGTTTCGAACTATATATTGTCTAAGAATAGGTCACTAGGAACATGATATTATTGGAAGAATAACTTTTCAATGTTTATTTTCATTTATGTATAACTACATGATTACCACAGATCCACCACCATTTTGTCTGGCTTTGGACACTGTACTTAAAATGCACTCTGATCTTCATTGCATTTCAGCTGCTGAGCAGAACCTGATTGGCCTAGTTTCAATTCTTAGGTATGCTGGCTTAAACAGTCAAAATTCTTTTTTTTTTTTTCTTTTTTCCTGTAGAGACAGGGTCTTGCTATATTGCCCAGGCTGGTGTTGAACTCCTGGGCTCAAGCGATCCTCTAGCCCCAAAGTGCTGAGGTTACAAACCTGAGCCACTGTGGCCAACCTTGAAAATTCTTTATTCTTAAATTTAAACAAAAATAAAAGTCAAACATAAAACCCCAGACTTAATATTGATTCAGATAGGTTTGTATTACTAGTAGATAAAAAAAGAGAATAGATAGCAAATCATACTAAATGAGCATTATGTTGACTTAGCCCGTCAAGCGAAAACAATTTGGTTTATTACATTTTCTCTCTCATTCACTTTAGCCAGTCGTCTGGGATTGTATTCCAAAACTTCCCAGTCAGTCTCAGGAGAAGAAATAGATGCAATGGATGTCCAGCAGCTTTCACAGATAGTACCAAAGGTAGGCCTAAACTAAAGCCTTTTAGACTGAAAGGCCTTATTCTAAGTGTTACCATTTCTGCTACTATCTTAATGAAACTGTTTAATTGTGAACATCAGGGATTTAAGTAACCACCAGATTTGTTGGTTCAAATCCTGAAATGAAGTCTTATCATTGAAGTAGTCTTATGGATTATTTTATGATATGATGTTTATGAATATCAGTGAAAAATTATTAATTTTATCAAGAACCAGATTTCCTCTGAGAAAAGTACTGTGGAAATTAAAAGTGCTTGTATTTATGAATTAGAGGATGGAGAGAGATGATTGCTTTATACTTCTTACTCTTTTGTTCAATTTTAATTTTAGCATGAGTATGTAATTTTTTTTTAAGGTACAATTTACGTATAGTAAAATGCACCTATTTTAGTGTATAGTTCTGAGCATTGACAGATGCATGCAGTCTTGTAATCACCACCACAGTCAAGATATAGAACAGTTCCATCATCCCCTCAAATTATCTTATGCCTTTTTGTGGTTACTTTCTCTCCCCCTACTTCCAGGACTTGGCAGCCACTAATTCGTGTTTTGTCTCTGTCACTTTACCTTTTCTAGAATGCACTAAAAATTGAATCATACCGTATGAATGAGGCTTTTGAATCTGCTTCTTTCACTTAGCATAATGCATTTGACATTTATCTATGTCGGTGGTGTGTATTAGTAGTTTGTTGCTGTTTTTTAAAGTAATAATTCTATTGTGGGTGTACCTTACCTATTCACCAGTTTAAGGACATTTAGATTGTTTCCACTTTCTGATGATTATGAATAAAGCTGCTGTCAACATTTGTGTACAGGCTTTTGCGTGAAAATAAATTTTCATATCTCTTGGGTAAATACCTGTGAGTAATTGCTGAGTCATACACTTAATGTATATTTAATTTCATAAGAAACTGCCAAATTGTTTTACAAGATGGCTTTATTATTTTGCACCCCCACCAGCAGTGCCTGGAACTTCTAATAGTCCTGCATCCTCCCTAGCACAAGGGAGTGTCATTGCCCTCACCCCCCATTCTAATAAGTATACAATGGTATCTTACGATGATTTTAGTGTGCATTTCCCTCACAACTAGTGATGTTGGATATCTTTTCATATGCTTATTTGCCATCCATATATCTTCTTTAGTGAAGTGTCTGCCCTGCCTGTTTTAAAAAAATTATGTTTTCTAATTATTGAATTTTGAGCATTCTTTATATAATGTGGATACAAGTCCTTTATTAGATATTTATTTGAAAATGTTTCTTTCCAGTTGGTAGTGTGTCTTTTCCAAGAGGGGTAGTTTTTAATTTTGATTAGGTCTAGTTTTTCAATTTCTTCTTTTATGGACGATGCTTTTGATATCTCAGAACTCCCTGCCTAACCCAGGTTCACAAAGATTTTCTTTGTGTTTTCTTATAGAAGTTTTATAGTTTTGGGTTTTATACTTAGGTCTGTGATCCATTTTGAGTGTGTTTTTTGTATATGTTGTAATGGGTTAAGGTTTATTTTCTTTGCATATAGATGTTCAATTATTCCAGCAACATTTGTTGAAAAGACTATCCTGTTTCCATTGAAATACTTTGTTACTTTTGATTATAATGCTTTTCTAACAAATTATTTGTAGGAAGAGAGGTATCTCCTGCCCCACAGCACAGTAACTTCTTTAGAGCCAGGTTCCCTAATACGAGATTAACTTACTTTATTATCTTGGGCTGCCTTGTAAGGGGCCTATCAAAGCCTGGTTTGTGGGTACACAGGTCCCGTAGGAAGTGCCCCATAAGAGGTGGGCAGCAGTCTTCCCAGTTGCTGACAGTTCAGATTTCTTGGTTTTATTTATTATATATGCACATCTATTTGTATGTCCTTCAAAATAAGCACTTATCTGGAATTTGCTATTTTGTAGCCATCCATTACTACTAATAAAATATTGCTACCTCTTCCTTCATTTATTTTACACTTACAACTTACAACTTCAAGTTATATATTCGGAATATGGAATTTTCTTAAATTATTTCTGCATCTTAAGGTAAGGTATGTCTATACTTTTTTGATTAGGAAATTTATTCATTAGTAGTATATGTTCAACATAGAAAAATAAAATGGTATAGAAAAGTAAGAGCTACAATAGAAGTTGTCTGTAATCTAACCCACACTTAGGTTATGCATCCACAGAGTATCCATAATAAGTTAACCTATTATGACTTAAAAAAAATATGTTTAACAAAACCTGGTTGCTACTTTATACTGTTATAATTCTGAACATTCATTTTACATAACTTTGGCATTTCTGAAGTCAGTTATTATTAGAAAACATGTTTTTAATTGCTGTACAGTATTTTGAGTATACCATGTGTATGTGTGTATAAATGCACAGCATATATATATATATTAGTTATCATAACCATTTTCCTGTTGAAATTTGAGCCTTCTATTCTTTTTACTACCTGTAAGTGTTCCTTAAAGGATAATGACAATAGGCAACCATCTCTATCTGAATTGCATGTATACTACATTTATCTAATTTACTTCTTTAGCTTAACCTATAAAACAAGGCAGACCACTCAAAAATCTAATAAATAATAACGCCTTATTTTCTTAGCAGGTAGTAGATGATAGAATAATTGGAGCAGAATACACAGTTCCTGGCATTCCTACACGCCATCTCTACCCCTTACGTCCTAGACAGTTCCCCTTCATCTATTAATGACTGCATTACCTGTAGTATAATTTAGTTGCAATTAATGACGCATAAGCTATTGATACAGTTTGTAATTTTATTTCATGTTTATCACTAAGGTTTACTTTTTGTTTGTACCTTTCTAGGGGTTTTGATAAAACATAATGACATATTATCCACCATTACAATTTCTTTTTTTTTTTTTTTTTGAGATGGAGTCTCGCTCCACCATTACAATTTCATACAGAGTAGTTTCATTGCCCTGAAAATCCCTGTGTTTGACGTTTTCATCCCTCCCCACTCCCCTCAAATCCTTGACAACCACTGATCTTTTTACTGTCTCTAGAGTTTTGCCTTTTCCAGAATGTGTATGGTTGGAATAATAATGTATGTAGCCTTCTCAGACTGGCTTTTTTTCACTAAGCAATATGCATGTAAGGTTCCACCATGTCTTTTCCTGGCTTAGTAGCTCATTTCTTGTGAGCACTAAATAATATTCCATTGTATGAAAGTGCCACAGTTTATCACTTCACCTTTTGAAGGGCATCTTAATTGCTTCCAGGTTTGGCAGTTATACATAAAGTTGCTCTAAACATTCATATACAGGTTTTTGTGTAGACATAAGTTTTCAACTCATTTCGCTAAATACTAAGGAGCACAATTGCTGAATCAGATCATATGGTAAGAGTGTATTTAGTTTTTTAAGAAACAGGCAGTTCCATTTTTGTGGATGAGGAAATTGAGGCCCAGAGTACTTGGGAGACTTGACTGATGTCTCAGAGCTCGTAAGTAGTGGTGTTGGCATTGGAAGTGGAATCCAGGTCTGTATGCTCCAGAGTTCATCTGTTATTTGCTGTTTCTTTGAATATTATTGAACCTAAGATGTACCCATCTCTGATTATTATTATTATTGTTACTATTTTTTACCACTGCCCTTATCCATATACATCTCTGATTATTTTTATACACTAAATTCCTACATGTGAAATGATTGGACTAGTGTTCAACACATTTGTAAGGCCCTTAACATATATTGCTGAATTGTTCTCTGGAAGGTTTCTGTTTATATTTCTATAAACTATGCTTCATATAGTAGCATTAAGTCCCTAGACCTCCAGTCCCACTTCCCTCATCCTCTAGCAAGTGGTTAGATTTTGGATGTTGTTACTAATAGAAATACACTATTTTGCTTATCCATATTTTTTCTTTCTGAACGTCTAATCACTCACGAATGCTGTTTTCAGAGAGAGCCAATCATAGTCCTGAAAGATGTAATTTCGAATGTTGAAATCCTGAAAGATTGAAATCCTTAAAGTCTTAAAATCCTGAAAAACCACAGTCCCCAAAGATCAAAATCCTAAAAATCTAATTCTGGAAAAATTAATTGTAAAATAAAATCATTTACATTTTTAAGAAGGAATTTATTTGAGAAACATAAAAATATGAAAATTCTCCATTGGTCACTTTATACAAAATAAGCAATAATAAATAGCCTACACAGTTTTGCAAGCATTTGCAAGCATAAACACTCAGGCATAGTATATGACAGACAGATATAACATAGGACTGTTATGAGCATATGAACTGTATTTATAAAGAAATAGGTCATAAGGGAAATGCATAAACACCTATCACTATGGTTGCTAATTGTGTGCACCCCACTTTATAACTGTGGGTCATTTTTATCTTTCACAAATGCAGATGTATGAAAAGGACATCTCTTCATTTATTGAGGAAGTTTCAACATTTTTACATACATGTACAATGCTTACATACAAAGTCAACATTGTGATCACGCACTTTTGTGAAGTCAAATTTGTAAAACATGCATAAAACAAATTAGAACCCTTTAAGTCTCTATAACTTATGCTTCCAGTGTTGGAAATGATGCAGAGGTGAAATACACAGCATAGCAAATTGTAAAAAATAATGCTGACAATTTAAAATAGTGGAAAATGAAACTAAAAAAAGAAAAACAATGGCGGGGGATGGTGGCTCACACCTGTAATCCCAGCACTTTGGGAGGCTGAGGCAGATGGATCGCCTGAGGTCAGGAGTTCGAGACCAGCCTGGCCAACATGGCGAAACCCCATCTCTACTAAAAATACAAAAATTAGCTGGGCGTGGTGGTGAGCGCCTATAATCCCAGCTACTCAGGAGACTGAGGTAGGAGAATCGCGTGAACCCGGGAGGCAGAGGTTGTGGTGAGCTGAGATCGCACCAGTGTACTCCAGCCTGGGTGACAGAGCAAGACTCTGTCTGCCCACCTCCCCCCCGAAGGAAAAAAAAAAAAATAAGAAGAACAAAA